TTTTTTTTTTGCTAGTTGTTTAGTTTAGTAACATTTAAGTTTGTGGTAAGAATTTATGGATTTGTTGTTTTATTTAATAATTATACTTATAAATAAGTAATGATACTAAAAAAAAAGGAAAGGAAGAAAGCAAAAGTAAAAGAATAGTTTATGGGAGTTAACGGAAAAAATTTGTATAGGGACGGATGGGGATAGGAAAGTGTTAGCAATATTTGCTGGTATTACTATCATCAAACACCCCGTTGACAGAATGGTAAAAAAGAAAACATTCATGGAATAGTGTTTGGCTTAAACTTTGTATGTTTATATAAATCGTATAATCTGCTATAATACAGCCACTTTTGCTGTTATTGTTGTCTTTTGTTTAAGCATTACTTTGATTCAGAGAAAAAAAAAGGAAAAAAGGAAATTTTTATCGAAGTATTGTTGTTGCTGTTTTTCCGGTAGTATTCTTATTTGAACATTTAAGCGTATATTGGCTTTCTAAATTTTTACTTTGATTTATCGTTAACTGTTAATTTTGCCCTTATTTCCTCTATATTTTTTGTTTTGTTTAAAAATAACACTGCATAGCTTATGTGTTTTAAAAGAAGCAAAAAAAAAAGAACCAAAGAAAAGTGAAAAAAAATTTTGCGAAAGCCATATTCGAAAATTTAAAGGAAACTTTGAGTTAATTTTAACAAAGACTTTCTCTTTAAATACAGTTATTCAGTCATTTTTCAGTGGTTCATTTTATTTTTTAACTATTTTATATTATTAATAACAGAATTAGTAATCTTGAATAGTATATATCTTGAAATTATTATTGCTTTATGCAGATAACAATCTTGATTATGGTTTTTTTTTTTGGCTTACAAATCGTGTGCTAATTGTTAATGATTTATTCTTGATTAGGTGACCAATAACTGGCTCAGCTTATAAAATTTAGACTTTTATTGGTTAAAAAAGAAACAATTGAAATAACTGTTTTGGTAACTATAATTGTTGGTTTATCAAGAAGAAAATATTTTGAAAAATTTTGCTTAGCTGTAAAGATAAATATTTTTACATTAGCTACGTACGCTTTTTTTCGCTTTCTTAATTTTTAACTAACGACAATAGTTAAAAAAACTGTAAATAACTGTAGTAAAGTTGTTGTTACACATTTACCAACACAGTTGACAGACGCTTAAATGTTGCATTTGACTATAATTCATCTGAATATAAATGCTTTATTTATCTTGTTATTTGAATGCTAAAAAAAAAATTTAAAATCAAAAACAAAAATGTTACATGTTTGTTTATTTTGGTCTAAAAAATCAAGAAAAACATGTTGCTTATTTTTTTTTTAGTAGAAGAAACTTATACTGTGTGCTATTTGTATGGTAAAAATATTAACATTTAACCGCATTCATATATCAATTAGTTATTTTAGTAGCTTATTTCGTCTGATCATTTTTGAAACAGTCAGACTGACAGATTAAAGCTTTTGCTTTCACTGTTATTGTCGTTTAATATATATATTCAGAGTCTGAAGTGATTATACTGTATGATTATAAACTAACGGTAATTTGATTA